ATGGATTGGGATAACAGTTGTATGAGCCCCTAATAATATGTTAAAAAAAAAAAGAATGTGATACTCGAAAGTATCTTTGGGGGAATCACTTTTTCCCCATGAATTCAATAAATCGTTATTGAGAACATCAAAAAAAAAAAATCTTTGCCTTGTCTTAATGGTTATCCCATGAAATACTCTCTTCAGTTTTAAGTCAATCACTATCCTTGATTCTCCAGGAGCCATGTATCAGCCCATGCCGTGGTGAAGCAGCCCGTCCGGGGGACCAGTGGTAGGACCATCATCACCACGTTTGTTCCGACAGGCAGGGACTGGAGCACCGGACTCTTCAGTGTCTGTAGAGATAAGAAAATCTGTATGTGTTTTCTCCTTTTCAAAGTTCTTTCTTACCTTCTACTTTCCCAAGACACCAACAGGTAGAAGAGCATCATCAAGCACAAGGAATGGTCTGGTAACTCAAACACACTAGTTGGCCAGAGAAATCTTACTTTTCAGAGTTGTGGAAGCTTTTATTGAATAATTGTTGCCCTCAAAAATATTTCAAGACAAAAAATATCCACGGTTAACAAAAATGCTCCTAAATGGTTTCCCATACCCACTTCTGGCAAAAGTATAAATTGGTACAAACTTTCCAGTGATGGTTTAGCAATACATCTAAAAAGAATCTCAAGTGTTACATACTGTTTGGATGAATAATTTATTTGTTAGGAATTGTGTCTAGGAAAATAATCACATACAAATAACTAGAAGAGCTTGGTGGTGAAATGGTTGCACAATGGGCTGCTAACCACAAGATCAACAGTTCAAAACCTCCAGCAACTCAGAAGAAAGTCAAGAATCTCTCCTCCCATAATGAGTTACTGTTTCAGGAACATCCCACATGCCCACACGGGGAGGGAGATATCCATGTATGAATTGTTATATAGCCATGAAAGTCACATTATAAAATAACATTCAATGAGGTGAAGAGATGTTTTGGAACCATATCTAAAAAAAACATTTTGATGTGAATTAGATGAAGATTTACAGAGAAGATAATCAATTCTACATCCAACAATTCATACACATTTTGTTTCATTTCATCCACTATAATCTTCTCCATGTATATTCTCCTCAATCTCATCACTTATTTCCATACCTCCTCCTGTCCTAACCCTCTGAACTTTGTCCTTGGGTAAATGCTGTCCTTCTGAAAATTCTAAAGGGTTGATTATTCTAACACTGAGGTAAATTCAGTTCCAGACTTGAGGGCAGTAGTCTTGGGGGGATTCAGGGCCAAATTGTCTTAGAGTCTCTATCTGATCAATTAGACTGGTCTTTTTAAAAATTTTTTATGAATTTTAATTCTGTTTTTGGATACATTTTAAGTTAAAGAAGCAAATTGCACAAGTGTTCACATTAAATACCATTTTCAAGGAAAGATTTAGAAAAATGTGTAGAAGTATCTAAATAATAAGATTTATAGCAAATGATTCTAGCTAAGGAGCTGCAGTGGAGCAGTGAATTTAGCATTGGGCTGCTGATTAAAAGGCTAGTCATTCAAACACACCAGAATCACTATGGGGTAAAGATGAAGATGTCGGTTTCCCTAAAAATCTGCAGCTTTGGAAACCTTAGGGGGAAGTTCTACTCTATCCTTCAGGGTTTCGGAGATGGAATTGACCTGAAGAAATGGGTTTTGTGTATCTGTTGTCTACTACTTCAATAAGGAGTATGTAGTAGTCTTACAGCAGCAATCAAGGGGTCCTGATGGCAGAGTGGTTATGAGTTGAGCTGCTAACTGCAAGGTCATCAGATTGAAACCACCAGCCCTCCTCCATGGGAGAAAGAGGAGACATTCTATTCCCATAAAGAGTTACGGTTTTGGAAACCCACAAGGGCACTTCTACCCTGTCCTATAAGATTACCGTAAGTCAGAAGTGACTCCATGGCAGTGAACTTTTAAAATAGCAATCATAAGAAGACTTGGCTGAAGTATTTTCTGACACTAGTTCAAGCTATAAAAAGTACCTCTAGCTACATGACTCTCTCTTGGGTTTGAAGTTCAAAGCATGTCAGTTCTATTTTTACCTTAGGACATTCTGACCTACGGTAGCATCTATTTGGATCCCCTTTTAGGATCTGCTACTCCAGCCCTAGAAAATAGGGTTCTGATTTGGTTACACAATTTCTCTTGAAGGAGAGAGGGCCCCTTCATGGTTGAGAATTAACCATCTCCCAGTTTTAAATTACAAGAGATCTTTGATCTAATATTTTTGAATAATATACCTGTGCTCACATGCTGAAGACTTCTGGGAAAATCTGAATTTGTTCCAAAGCCTTACAGGATGGATCAATCAGAAAGCCCTAGCTTGTTAAATGGCCTGAGATCTCACTGAATCCAGGAGTCTTGCTGAGACAAAGTTCTAACAACAAGTTTTTGTTGTTCTGATCATTGCAATTTGAGTCTTTATTGTTTTCCTTGGCCTCTTAGACAAGAGATTGCCCAGCACAAATCCTGCCTACTACCGTATCCGTTAGCATGTCTGATCCAGCCACCACTGCTGTTCAGGTGAACTTGTGATTCGACAGCCATGGCAGCCCTTCTCTGGTTTTTTGAAGAGTCTTCCTGCTTCTGCACTGTTTTGAAGACTTTGCTTGTGTGGAAACCGAGTGCCAAGTTGTGATGTGGACCCTTTTCCCTTTGTGAATTGTGGCTAGGGAAAATTACCAATGTGCTTCCAACTTAGACAAAGCCTAAAATATAGTGTAGTAGTTAAGAGCACAAATTTCCTTTAGACGTAGACCTGGTCTTGAACCCTAGCTATCTCTTACTGGCCCTTTGTCCTTTGGCAAGTTCTCTGGGTTTTCCCTTTTTTCCACCTTTCTTCTTGTCATTTTTGGGTTTTCCCTTTTCATCTCTAAAATGAGGTTAAAGATAATAAAAGTACCTGCCAAGGGTTTTTGTTTTGACACTGCAGATAATCAATAGAACACACTCTTGCCACTTGCTCAGAACATAACTCGGTTAGGGATTTTGGTTGCAAGCCAACATGGCATTCTATTGCAAACACTATGAAGTATCTCCAAGAATCCAAGGATCAGCTAAAACTGAAGCTCATATAGAACAAAATGTGTTATCCAGAGCTAGATGACAATATGGATTGCTTTAAATGTCCTTATCCTCTGTCATCTTGTTTAATAAACAGTGTTTGGGTAAAAGGAGCCCAATTTGCCTATTTGGGCCACTTGCCTACTCATTGGCCAGGCCAGGGAACTTACCACTACTGTTTTGTCAATATGATCCCCAGTGGTGAAGGCATAATCTTCTAAAAGTAAATTGTGATACTATTATGAGGAAAATCCTGGTGAATATCAGTATAACGCACTTACTGAATTTTAGCACTATTGTTATTTTACATTTTATTATCCTTCAGCATGTTAGAGCAGGTGCCTATCTTAGGGTTTTTGTCCGAATTAAAGCAGATAAACCCATAGAACCTATTCTGAACACTTGTTTGAAGTATAACTGGATCATTATGGGTGTTTTGGTTGCAAGCCAAGATTGCATTTCGTTAGAAGGTTCTAGGGAAACTCGGTGCCAAAGGATCAGCTAAAACTCAACCTCGGATTTAGAACTCATATTCGAGAAAAGAATAATGTGGAGGTTTTAGGTTCGATTCAGCAGAGTGATTTCTGCCCAATCCTACAAGCAGCTAAAAAGCTGGTCAAAGGAAGGGTCCTGAAACCCCTGTGCCTCAAGCATTGTAGGACCCCCCAGTGCTGCTGTCCATCACCATCAATGCTCCAGATATAAAGCCACCCTGGGTTTGCTGAAGACTCATGGCTTGCCCAGTTGAAAGCCCATTCTAAAGGCAATGGAAAGAGTATATGCAGAGAGAAACAATATATTTACAGTTCACTGGGGAAAAATCATGAAGGAAAAGCCAGAGATACAGACGCCAATGTTATCTCAAATGCTCTGTGTCTTCATTGTTCTCTTATTGGGTCTCCATTTTGTGACTGCTCAAAAGGTCTCGCAGCTCATTGTCTTAGAACTGGGGAGGCTAACATTCGGTCTGAGGGTCATATAAGGCCTGTGGAATTATCCACAACAGTCATATAAGGCCTGTGGAATTATCCACAACAGTCATATAAGGCCTGTGGAAACAGGTCATATAAGGCCCATGGAAACATCCACAATCATCACCTATTGCACCAAAGAGCAGCAGTTTCAGACATAACATCAGAGTTGAGTTAAAGAAATGTTTGCCCCGATGTCGCAGGCTAATTTTTAAGTTGACCACTTAGTATGGCCCCTTGTTGATGTTAGAAACAGCCAAATGGGCCTTGGCATCAAACATTTTCCCAACTCCCATCTTAGAAGAAAACGGGACTGTAGCATCATGTTGCATGCTCTTCATGGGAAGCTGAGTCAGAGGCTGCAGCTGCATTGAGTGCTATGAATCTCACGCTTGTTCCCTTCCTTGTTTAGCAGGGATAGATCACCCACCAAGTCTCATTTCTGAGAAATCACCGTGCAAATAGTTGTCACAAACTTGGAAACAAAAAGGAGAGAGTTTCTTCCCATGACTTTGTTCTATGCCAGATTCCCATCTTTGGACCATTTTTCTTCACATGTTGAGAATTGTTGCTGCAAGTTGTCTTTCACTATGAAAAGGGTCAGTATGAGCAGCAATTCTTTCTTTTTGGGGGGACACTTTTCTTCCTCATTTAATTATAATTATATATTTTCAAATTGCCTTCCTTTTCCCACCTCTAGGCTTTTCATCTGGATTCACACTGCCTTGGGATTAATAAATGGGTGTGTTTGTGTCCTTTGAAGATATGTTTACTGGACTCGCAGATGTGAAAATGAAGCCAGTGTGAAATAAGTGGTTGTTAAATAGCATTGTGGGTAGCAAGGCATCATGTGTGAAAGACAAGTTTTGGGAATGCTTGTGATACTGCTCCAGAGAATGTCTTGTGGAAGGTGATGTCAACATTGCTTTATAATTCAACCTTTTTTTACTCAGTTCCTACCTGCGTTTAGGCACTTGCTAGATGTTACAGACGCATATAATAGTGAATAGGCAGAGATGGTTTCTTAGTGGAGAGAGACAATGAAGAATCCAACAATTCACTAGAGAATACAATAGCAGTTTTGATTAGTGTTTTGAAGAAAAGAAACAGGTTGTTAAGAAAGGGAGTTATTGGATTGGGGATGGATAAAGGATGGCTTCTCTGAAGAACTGCTATATAAGCTGATACTTGAAGCAGGTATCCTCATAGAAGGTGCCCTATGTACAAGGCAGTAAAACGCCTGGCGTGTACTCCAGCAATCACCAGATGCCCAGGGTGTGTGGAATGAAGTGA